GAATCTTGAAAGAAAAGTTGCTTTGATCTTAGGTTTCGAGGAAAGAAAGATGGGGATAGAGGATTCCCACTGACGGTGCCACTGATCTTGCCGGTTGATCAGAACCTGGAGAGTGGCCGGAGGATGATCTTCAGTCGGGAAGTATGCTGAGGAAAAAATAGGGGTTGTACCTGTAAGGCACTCCAACAATCAAGTAAGAGTGGGAACGGGGAGGTACAAGAATAAAAATCAGGTAGTCAGTAGTGAATATTTGATACCTGGCCCTCACAGGTGTAAGGGTTTATATAATGCCCTTGGCGCGTGGCCAATGGTTCCTGATTTCCCGCCTAGATATATGAGTCTGAAAAATCAGGTAACTGCCAGGACTTGGTCAGACCGGGCGGATGCACCTGTAACTAGCCGTTGGTTCCGAGGAGGGGACTAGTTACGAGCATCACTCTGGCCGGTTCTTGGTGGCCTACGCGATATTGGTGTCGGGTAGGCAGAGAGGGTGCTCATAGATCATCATGGGCCAGCTCCGGTTTAGAAGGTAAAATGGTTGTCGTTTCCCAACAGGGGGTATAGCCATGCGGGCGATCCGGGTTATGGTCGGGTGGGCTTGACCCGTGGAGATCTCTGGGACTGGGCCAATCAAGCTGTCGGGCCAGTCCATAACACAAAATAATAGGGTCATTCATATTATGATCAAACTATTTCCAAGCCCATATCAATGAGAATTTCCTCTAAGACCCAACATATTCACATAAGGGCAAGTTCTCTGTGTACCTTCGTAATCTCCAATGGATCCTTCCTCCTACAACAGCAATCTTCGATGTTCAAATCAAGTATCGGGAAATCATATTAGCATAACATCCAACTATCATGTGACAAGAAACCTTATCATATAAGCAACCTCTCTACATCTTAACTATCTGCATCATTAAAAAAAACATAATAGTCTGCATAAATCATTAGCATGCATTTATCAGGATATTGCGATCCGAAATCAAGCTATACCTATCATCTCACCTGGTTGACGAATTCAGATAACATGGATCTAACAAAGAGCTTAATCTCACTTGACATCTACTTTTAAGCCCAATTCTCATTGGCGCATCAAAAATCCAACATCCATTGACGCATATCCAAGTCACCCATTGCATGCATTGGTCAGTCATTCTACGCATTAACACCTATATTTGCATGCGTACATGACATGTCATAAACCAAAACTTAGGACATCCCGTAAAAAAATCCAGAGTCAATTCCCAAGGGAGTCACTATTCTCAACTCAAGTGCAATCTATAGCTAAGTAAGTAACATCTCTTTGACTATCCCTCTCAATGATTCTACCGTACAAGGATTCTTCGTCAAAATTGTAAGAAGCCTTATGTACAACCGTCCAGGATGTGAGCAACCTCACACATTTCTTTATTCGCGTTTCACAAAAGACGTGAGCAGTCTCACACAACCTCACCCATTATTCATTCACAGACAGCCCTACAAAGTATGAGCAACCTCATGCATTCATCAGTCATCCATATGTAATCAGCCTTACGTAAAAGTCGTGAGCATCCTCACACTTTCCAATCGACGCCTCTCGGTGACCTTACCAATGTTGGCAACCTTGTTGTCTGTTTTACCTTTCTGAGTCACCAAGTTGATACTATTCAGGCAACCCTATGGATATTGGTGCAAAGCCCAGTCCCCGTCTGGACCATCTTTTCAAAATCCTAGTTCCCGTTTGGGCCATCTTTTCAAAATCCCAGTTCCTGTCTGGCACATCTTTTCAAAAGCCCAACCCCTAATTGGCATGGCTTCTCAGAAAAATAAGTCTTGGCTGATAGTTTTCCTTAAGCATCAGTTCCAAAGTTCAAATAAAAGGGGCATTACATTATCAATCATTACATCATTTCAATTCATAACATTATCATATCAAGCATACATACCATACATCATACAAACATCAAGCATAATCATATTAAACATGCATACATGCATTACATTCAATCATACATGCCCGTAAAAAACTACGGAAAAATCTCAAGGCATGACTACCAGCTAAGACGAACTCAAAGTTCAAATCCAAGCTCAACATTATCCATTCACCTTGCTATAACTACCTCGATTGACAATGGACACAATCGTCAAAGGTGCCGCTATCAAAATCTCACTATGCAGCTTACCTATGACTCATATCCACGCCTACATACACATCCACGCCTATTTCTACGACCACACCTACACCTACGTCCACGTCTATGTCTGCGCCCACGTCCACACATACGCCTGTGCCTACGATACAAATATCAAGACACTTTTCATCATGTCCACACCAATTCATCATGTTGGGGAATTGATAACTCAAAACCAATGGTTCGAAAAGGGAGAGTTATCAAAAACGTTTGCGAAAATACTTAGAGTATACACAAATAGTTGGGGCATACACACTTAGTACATATACTCTCCGGGCTTCATACTGATCTAAGACATCATACACATACATCATACATGGTATGCCTCAAAACATACTTTGGGTGGAACCAATTTCCTTGGGACCTCCATCATATTTTCACCTTAGTTGAAAACAAACAACCAGCAAATATCCAATCTCATCTTCGATTTAGCTATCCAAGGTTTGATCATCAAAACACACTTCGTCTACAAATATGACTCATTACCTAAGACTCCATGCAACAATGTCTGAAATCCATAAATTTAACTCATCACCTAAGACTTCATGCAGTGATGTGTTCTTTGTGATATAGCTCATTACCTAAGACTCCATGCAGTAATGTGCAAAATCTGCAACATAACCCATTTCCTAAGACTCCATGCAGTAATGTGCGACACCTCCAATATAACCCATTGCCTAAGACTCCATGCAACAATGTTCAAAATCCAAATTTAACTCATCGCCTAAGACTCCACGCATCGACGTGTTTTCTTATTTACAATTTAACTCACCACCTAAGACTCCATACAGTGATGTGTTCTTTGCGACATTTCCCATTACCCAAGACTCCACACAGTAACATGCAAAATCCGCAATCTAACCCATTCCATAAGACTTCAGGCAGCAATGTTCAAAATCCGCGGTATAACTCATCGCCTCAGGCTCCATGCATCGATGTAGTTGTCAAGTTTTTTCAATTATTTATCCCCCGGGTTGTGATAGATATGCAAAATGAATATGCGTAATCTATTGCATCAGGCTCCAGGCAGTGTGTTATCAAACATTGTTATTCATCCCCTAGGTTGTAATGAATAGACAAAATCAAATCAAATCAAAACTTGCTATATTAGTCTCCAAGCATTAATACGTCAGCTTTTTCGAACTTGAATCATTTACCTCCTAGGTTATGGTAAATTCTACAACAATCTCTTTTCTAGGCATTGACGAATTATCTGCATCGTCACGTGTAGATCAATCTTACTCTTCAATATCTCTCTATTCAAACTCTGGCAGGACGATACATCATCGTCTTTGCCTAAAACTTTGGTTCAAATCCTGGTAAAGTGATACATCATCATCTTTGCCTATTTTCTTCAAAACTCTTGGGGGTATGTTATATCAGTGTAACCTCATCTAGCCAACTCTTGTGGGTAATGCTATATCAGCGTAACCCTATCTAGCCAACTCTTGGGGGTATGTTATATCAGTGTAACCTTATCTAGCCAACCATTGGTCAAATTTTGGGGTCTTCTATTATTTAATAAATCTCTTATTCGAATGAACAAAAACCTACGCATTCTCGCGCCATTCAATCGAAGAGTTATTAAATAGGGGCAGTTGTCATACTCCAAATTTGCACGCCTTAGTGCTACCGCCAAAATTATTTTCAAACTTGACTTTAAAATTCATTTGGTTTAATTACATTAATATTTTGGGGTTTTAATAAATATTCGTTCTCAAAGTTTTTAAAAATATAATAATTTATTTCAAATTATTTATATTTTTTAAAATATAACAAACAGTTGCTCGTCTCCATATATTTTTTATTGTATTTCTATTTTGAATAAACAAGATAGCACAATTGATAAATAATGAAACTTGCAAGTATGAGGTTATGAGTTCAAATCTCACTTTGTGCACTTTAGATATTTTTTGTTTATTTATTACTAACTATTTATATTTTTAACCATAAAAAGTCATTTTTTATTAATTAAATATTACTTTCGTTTTTATAATTAAGGCATTTTTAAAAATAATTATTTATTTGATTTTATGCACTTTTTATCAAAAATGATTGCAATAATTATAATAAATATAAAAAATATTGTATTTTCTAATTAATTGGTTCTTATTGGTCAAATTGTGTCCTTTTATGTTATACTCAATCTCTAATTGGTTAGCTTGTTGAGCAAGAAAATTTTGATTGACCAATCAATTTTATTTCCTAATTTTATGTCATACTCACTCTTTCACACTATTGAAGAGAGGAAGAAGTCCATCCACAATTTTTACATTCTTCGCTAACACTTTGTCTATCAACAATCCACATATTTATAATTTTTCACTCACTTTTTTTCACATACACTTCATTTTTTTTAAACTTTATTTTCAATTTTCCTCTTCAAAAAATTTTTAGTGTTATTTTTTTCAGACCGATAATTTTATATGAGACCATCCTTTTCAATTCTAATTTTTAATTTGATTTATTATTATTAACGATTTGATTCTTTTCATATTACACTAACTATTCACTAATTCACCTTATAATCATTTTTTCTGCTATTCATAAATTGCACATATTCACAACAAAATTTTATTGTGTATATTTTTATTCACTTTTCAAACCTTTAACCTTTTCACAAATTACCTTAATTTTTCCAACATTCATCTTCTTCAATCAAAGCAGAAATGACAAGTTTTTATCGCATATTATATCCTTCTCTAAAAACCAAATTCCTCATACACAGGCAGTAGTATAAACCATACTATAGCACGTCTTGTGTATAAATTGTGTTTGTGTCAAAAAACAAAGCCAAGTTTTTTTTCTCTAAAAATTCATGCATAAATGTACAACCTAGTTTTAAGCCACAGAGTACCAATCCTGGAAGTCTCAAAGCAAAAGAAATTATTATGTTGTTTCTATGTGTTTGTTGTGCAGAGAAAAAGGAAAGGAAGAGTTATGAACATCTCGTCGCAGTATCCCTCGCCGGCATCTTTCTCCTCTGACCGTGCCTTCGTACAACAGATTGCGAGCAGCTCCATTCCGCAGATCCGGACCACACTACAACGCTCCAGACTCGACAACCGCCGCGACCTCACACAAGCAGCCGCTGAAGCTCCCTCCACGCAACCCACGCCGACGAATCCCACGGTTAACCGTCCACTACCGCATCCGACAGCTCCATCTCCATGTCGCGCTCACAACACACTGCTCCGCCACGACCCCACACGGCTCTCCGCTTAGATCCAGCCGGCCAGCCCTCCGTCCAAATCGTTGTCATTACCTGTCAACACCACCGATCTCGACTATCATAGTTGACGCAGCAAGTTTGCTTGTTTTTTTTGTTGAAACATGTTGGTTGTATATCATTTGGGATTTTGTTTCAGAACTTGTGTAAATAAGGGAGAAAGAAATTCAGGTGATTGAGAGAGATACTGTATCCGAGAGAAATAATGGATTCTTTTTTTTCTTCTTTTTCATGATATGTAACTAGTAATTACTGTTTGTTTTGTTATTAAAAAAATATATGCCACATGTCAAATCCTTATTAGTCAAATGATATTTTGAAAAGTCAAAATTGAGAAATTCATTACCGATGATGAAGGCAATAGGGCGGTGCTTTCCTCCAAACAGATTTCTTTCTTTATTGATTTAATATCATAAATTACTGTTTTGCTTAATTTTTCAATTTTAGGCTTAGGTAGGTGCTCTCTTGTTCACGCCATGTTTTATTTTATTTAGGTTTACTGATTAATTTTGGTTTAATTTAATTTAGTATTATTATATATTTGTTTATTAATTGTTTAATTAATTATTAATATTAAATTAGGGGTTAGTGATGATAACGGGGCTTGGGTTCTAAATTTGTATATTATCCCAACACAACATGTTTCTACTTGCACTTTTTTTATTTAGTTAAGATAATTAATTAACTTGTTCATTTATTTATTTTTATTTATTCAACAATTAACACTTTTCAATTAAGTTAATTCAATATTTTTAGAAAGACATTAAAACCCACGTAATTCTTTAAATATTGTACCCGCGAACAACACATGACCAATATTTGGCCACGTGATGAGGAAGGTTATATCAGACTTCCTCCACACCCTTCACATCGAGCAACACATGGATAATATCTGGCCACGTGAGGAGGAGACTATATCAGACTCCCTCCGCTCAATGTCTCATCATACTCTTTAATCAAGTCAAAACATCAAAACAGCTAACCAACAATAAACCATTTTTCCACTAACCTAACAAAAACTACAAGATATTTTTGAAAAAGGGTTAAGGAGAATTAATTTCAAGTTTAACTGTGAACTGCGTCTACAACCACTCAATTTACAACTCAGACAAAGTTCAAGGATAATTCGAAAACAATTCTACGCAACCCTATAAAAAAACACCAACCAACTACGAATTACGAATTGAGACTCTGATTCCTCATAAAAGGATACGTAGGCATACGACTAAAATCGTGGCGAATTCCCCTATTAAAAATTAAAATCCTTTTTTCCCCTAATTAATATTAAAAACCTTTTTCCTAAAAAATGCGCTTCTAACCCTAGTATTCTTGTGAACAAGGTAGATGAGGGGTGTCTAACACCTTCCCTTCGTCTAAAACAGAGTCAACAATCTAGAATCCCTGTAACTTTTAGGGTCATTACTTTATACTCATTTCCTTAGGATAAAAATTAAGGGTGACGACTCTGATTAAAAAACTAGTTGCAACAATGAGAAACCATGAAATTCACTTGAGGTATTAGAAACCCAATCTTCCTTGAGAAAAGTGAAATCCTAGTTGTATGAAGAGATATCTTGAAGAAAATGGGAAGGCAAATTTTGGGGTACAACAGGGACATTGTCGTACGCTTTAATCCCTAACTTTTGCCTGGACCGCCCTTTCGGGTTTTCACTCCACTGGGATACTCTTTTTTGCTCAAGCCGCCTTTTTAGGTTTTCGACTTTCCGGGTTTACAATATATATATATATATATATATATATATATATATATATATATATATATATATATATATATATATATATATATATATATATATATATATCCCTAATTTTTGCTCGAACCCTTTTGGTTTGCCGAGATGCCCTTATTTTTTCCTAGGCCAGTCAACCTAGCAGGTCTCTTTCAAGCATAGTATTTTTTGACTATGTCTGCGTTCACAGGGTGTGGGAAATCTTCATCGTCCATGGTGGTAATTATCATAGCACCGCCAGAAAATATCTTCTTGATTACAAATGGCCCTTCGTATGTGGGAATCCATTTTACTCTAGGATCTCCTTGTGGTAGGATGATGTGTTTTATCATAAAGTCACCAGCCTGATATACCCGATATTTGACTTTCTTGTTGAAGGCTTTTATCATGTGCTTTTGATACATCTGACCATCACAAACAACCGCGAGCCTTTTCTCGTCAATCAAGCTTATCTGGTCCAGCCTAGTCTGAATCCACTCGTCTTCGTCTAAACCAGCGTCTTTCATAATCCTTAGAGAAGGAATCTGGACTTCAACAGGTAGGACAACTTTCATGCCATAAACTAGAGAGAATTGGGTTGCCCCAGTTGATGTCGGTACTGAAGTGTGATAGCCATGAAGAGAAAATGATAACATCTAATGCCAATCTTTATACGTCACTATTATTTTTTGCAAGATCTTCTTGATGTTCTTGTTGGCGGCTTCCATTGCGCCATTCATCTTCAGTCGATACAAAAAAGAATTATGATGCTTAATCTTGAACTGCATGTAGAGTTCCTTGATCATAGTATTATTGAGATTGGTACCATTGTCTGTGATAATACTTTAGGGGATGCCATACCGACATATAAGGTTATGCTTAATGAACCGAGCCACAACATTCTTGGTGACGGAGGCAAATGAGGCTGCTTCAACCCACTTCGTGAAGTAATCAATAGCGACTAGGATGAAACGGTGTCCGTTAGAAGCATTAGGCTTAATCTCTCTAATCATATCGATGCCCTACATTGCAAATGGACAAGGAGTAGTCAAGACATTCAAAGGAATTAGAGGCACATGTACTTTGTCAGCATAAATCTGACATTTTGATAGGTTCTAAAATAATGATGGCAATCAGTTTCCATGGTCGACCAATAATAACCCGCTCTCAGAATCCTTTTAGCCATTGTATTTCCACTAGAGTGAGTACCAAAGATACCTTCGTGCATATCTTCCATAATCTTCTCAGCTTCCTTCTTGTCTATACAACGAAGCAAATTTGAATCGTGGTTAGGCCTGTATAAAATTTCGTTGCTCAGAAAGATCTTGGTAGAAAACCTATGTAGGAATTTCTTGTCATTGATAGATGCCCCTTTGGGGTACCTTGAACTTCGAGGTATCTTTTCACTTCGTGGTACCAAGGTTTTTCCTCTACTCCATCAGTATCAATTTCGTAACAATGTGTCAGTTCGTCTAGTATCTCAATAGTAAATTGAGGAGCTTCGTTGTCCCATCTGACCTTGAACATAGATGACATTGTAGCTAATGCATCTGCCAACTGATTTTCTTCTCGTGGGATGTTCTCAAAAGTGATTTCTTCAAATTATAGAATTAATTTTAATATATGCTCCTGATAAGGAATGAGATTCAGATGTTTGGTATCCCATTCTCCCTTAATCTAATTGATTACCAGGGATGAGTCCCCATACACATCCAAGAACTTGATTCTCATATCAATAGCAGCTTTGATACCCATGATACATGCTTCGTATTCGGCCATGTTGTTGGTACAATCAAAGTACAATCTAGTGGTAAACGGCTTATGGAAACCTTTGGGAGATATAATCACAACACTAATTCCATTACCAAGTGCGTTGTAAGCTCCATCAAAAACCATAGTCCATCGGGATCTTGGATCAGGTCCTTCGTACGGTCAAAGTTCTTCGTAATCTGTGACTAGCATAATATTCTCATATGGGAACTCAAAATTCATAGACCAGTAGTCGTCTACAGCTTGATGAGCCAAGTGATCGGCCAATACACTTCCCTTGATTGCCTTCTGAGTAGTGTACTAAATGTCATATTCTGTCAAGACCATTTTCCATCTTGCTATTCTTCCAGAGAGAGCGGGATTCTCGAATGTGTGTCTTATAAGATCCATTTTAGAGATCAACAAGGTAGTATGAGTCAACATATACTGTCTTAGTCAGCGAGCATCCCATGCTAAAGCACAACATGTTTTCTCGAGTAGTGAGTATCTTGTTTCACAGTCGGTAAACATTTTGTTAAGGTAGTATATTGCATGCTCTTTTCAACCAGACTCGTCATGCTGCCCCAATACACACCTCATTAAGTTCTCTAACACTATTAGGTACATGATCGGGGTTCTTCCTTCAACTAGTGGCATCATAATTGAAAGTTCTTGGAGGTACTCCTTAATTTTTCAAAAGCTATCTGGAAATCATCGTTCCATTTCACTACTTGATCTTTCTTCAGTAACTTGAAGATTGGCTCATAAGTAGCGGTCAAATGGGAAATAAATATGGAAATGTAGTTCAATCGTCCCAAGAAACCTCTGACTTCCTTCTCAGTACGGGGAGCAGGCATTTCTTGAATGGATTTAACCTTGGCACGATCAACTTCAATACCTTTACCGCTGATGACGAAACCTAGGAGTTTAACGGATCTTACCCCAAAAGTGAACTTGTTCAGATTCAACCTTAGCTTGTACTTCTTTAGTCTCTCAAATAGCTTGTGTAGGTGGTCAAGATGTTCTTCTTCAGTTTGGGACCTGGCTATCATGTCATCGATGTAAACCTTTATCTCATGATGGATCATGTCATGGATCAAAGCTACCATAACACGTTAATATGTTGCTCCAGTGTTATTCAAACCAAAAGGCATAACCTTGTAACAGAAAGTGCCCCACTGCGTGACAAAGGTAGTTTTATATATGTCTTCCTGTTCCATCTTGATTTGATTATAACCAGAGAAACCGTCCATAAAGGAAAATACTTTGCGCTGAGCAGTGTTGTCAACCAGAACATCAATATGCGGAAGCGGAAAGTCATCTTTAGGGCTCGCCCTGTTCAAATCCCTGTAGTCTACACACATACGCACTTTGCCATCCTTCTTAGGTACTGGTACCATATTTACAACCCATTGAGTATAGGACGTAACAGCCAAGAAACCTGTGTTGAACTGCTTCATAACCTCGACCTTGATTTTTTCAGACATTTCGGGACGCATACGACGAGCCTTCTGCTT